TATATATAGTATATATATATATATATATATATATATATATATATATATATATATATATATATATATATATATATATATATATATATATATATATATATATATATATATATATATATATATATATATATATATATATATATGTATATGTATATATGTATAATATACATAATATTATTTTTGTTTTACTTTTTCAATTTAAGGTGATTAATTATGATATGCCAAATGATCGTGTGACATATGTACATCGTATTGGCCGTACCGGCCGTCTTCGTCGGGGTAAAGCGACGTCGTTCATTAACCTGGCTGAACAGGATCCAGTCTTGATTGGCGATATTGTTAAGGTAAAATCACTTTCGTAGTATGGATTTAATTCTGGAGACTACACATGATATCAAATATTTAACTACCCATTTTTATGTATTTGCTAATTATAATAATGGTAATTGATTGTTGCGAAAGATTAAAAAAGTTTCTGTTAAAGTTGGAAATATATTTGATTTAGGTGGTTCAAGAAGTGCAGCAAATACCGCCGGACTTTCTTCTTGATTTCGCTAACGGTCGTATTGGACGAGGTGGCTACATGGGGAGGCAGCGTATGCTTTAGAGTTTTCTTTTTGGACAAAAATAAATTTCCAAGTGGAAAAAAAAGATGCTAATCAAGATATTAGATATTAAGATATCAGTTAATTAGTTTTGGTCAATTAATTGGTTGATTAGGATATTAAAGCATTAGGATATTACTTAAGATTAAGATATCAGAGAAGTGTTGTTGGCAAAACATCGGAAGAATTATCTACTTATTTTTGAATTTTAATGAAATAGCGGTTTTAGAATTAGCTGTTTTCATTTCATTTTAGCATGAAAGTTTTTGATAACCATTAGACTGGGACTTTCAGCGAGCATATGGTATTTCAGGATCCGATGTGCCGTGATCTTGCTTGCAAATTTAAAAGGATATTCTCGGGAATAGGATGTACGGACTCTCGTTTTTGTTCCCATTAAGTTTTTTAAAATCTTGTGTCTTATTTATGGGGAAAACTAACTGCGTCCAGGTGGAAGATTATTGAATCGGGAATGAAACAACAATTGTTATTCTTAGTTTTTTTTTAGCAATTTCAACTGATCCACTTGCAACTTTCAAAACGGAATAATCGGTCTTCCCAAAAATAGATTGAAAAATGACATAATTAACAACATTTTAATCACAATTATAAATATCAATAGAGTTTCGGATATACTAGCTTTTGAGAGAAATGATGGAATAGCTGGGACTTTGGCGGTGATTTTGCAAATTGGGATATCGGGATAGATCCGGTTCCTCTCTTCTTTTACTAACTTCTTCACAACTTCAATTTTGTTTAATTCCATCTAGGCTAAAAGCATATTTTTATATGATAGGCACAAAGGACATCTCCTTTGTCACTTGAGATAGGTTATGATGTTGAAAATTTGGTTCTACCTTAACTTCTCACATTGCAAAACGTTTTGTTGTGCTCTTATATCATTTGTTTATAAATAGTCTCACACCTTTCTGACGTGTTGACATTTCATTAACTGATTGAAATGAAATATTGAGTAATTATTCCCAAAGATCGACATTCAAGTAGAACATCATTTTTCTTTTTTACTCAAATTTTAAACACTTTTGTTACGTTTCTAAATCTTATTCGTTCCATTCATTTGTTATGTATATTATAGTCGATCTTATTCTAAATGCTAATATTTTATGACAGGTTGCTAATCAGGCTTTATTGACTGGGTTTGCCATTGTGCATGTTATCCTTGTATGTTCGGAAACATAAGTATCTGTACATCTTTTACAAACTGTTATTATGAACTAATTTGATGATCCAAACACTCCCTGATTTCTGATCTTTTTTCCTCTTCAAAATCGTTCGTTTTACACTTTACAGCTTAAAAACTTTCTTCCGAAATATATACCAGTCTGACCGTTATGAGGAACACAATGTCCCCACATCTTTCTTTTGTTTGTTTTATATTACATGAAAAAAATTCCGTGTTATATATTACATTTAAATCAGTTTTTTTTCGTTTTATTGTGCACTGTTTCGAATGATTATCCGCCGATATCTTTTGAAATAAAGTACTTTTATTCATGAAGGCAATGTACAGTATTCTCGAGCACACGTAAAGTGAATGATAACGCGAACTTTCACCTATAAGTTTGATGAAAAGATCTTTTCATGTAATATTTCAAATATAGACTATTTACTGGTTAAGATCCAATCTGATGATCCAATTATGGTCGGTATTTGGTCAATTATGATCGATATATACGTGAACAAATCTCAACATCAAAGGGAAAAATTCTTTTAGTAGATTGGATAGCTAACTCATGATTTTAAGCATGAGAAAAAAAATTATGTAAATGTTGTTAACATTCATTTACAATTTGAATAAGAAAATTATTTTATTTATTTGGAATTTCGCGATATTAAAATTCGCGACATTTGGTGCTTTTTGTGTATAATTCCAGAATTCTCACTTAAATTACTGTTATTTCTGTACTAAAGAATATAAGACAACACTTGTTTTTTGATCGACATGATGCTGAAGATTATGTGACAGGTAACTCAAAGCTTACTGGCGGTATAACAGTCATCAAATGAAAAGTGTAGGTTACGGAATGGATAGAACCTTATTCCTGACATCGTATCCTATAAACCGGGTTTTCCACAAACAAGAATTCCTTTTATATATAATGTATGTACTTCAATTATTCGATCTTTGTCCTACCTAATTTATTCTTTGGAATATGCAAATTAGGAATGCAAATCCGAAGTTTTTATGAAGCGAAGTTTTATTAATAAAAAACAAAAAAGTCAAAATTGCAATTTGTAAAAATTTTTGTAGTCACAAGATGGTGGAACTTGACTGGCGCTTTCAGTAAATAAGGAGAAAATTCAAATTTAAATTTAGACTGAACTAATTGCCGCGAACGAGTGCAATCAGACCATCTTTGTATGCTCCCGAACAATCACCCTTAATAAAGGATTCCAAAGTTTTATTGTACTTTCGTTCGAATGCTTGTCTCACATCGGCCAGATCAATCTCGGAGCGTGTAACAATAACACGGATTAAATCATTGTCACGTGTACCAAATCCCTAAAATTTTGCACTATATTAAAATTCGTCTTTTTTCTTTTGTTTGATAATATATTCCTGATATGGTCAGGCAAACGATCAATCTAACATATTTGATAATTTGAGAATTACCGGATGAAGCGGAATACCATTACAATATTAATTTATTAGTATTGTCTTCCTACAATGACATTTTTATTGGTGAAATATTGATGTTAACTTACCACCATACTATTGTAGAGTAAGGTAGCAAAATAAGCAGGTTTATTCTGTGCACATGCAACAACAGCTAGTAAGCCATCCTTGACATCACCGCTAAATTCGGATTCAATAGCTTTCTCAATCGTATGATTTGTTATCTGAAAGGCATAAAAAAAAGCTCGCAAGATGGAAATTTTCGAAGAAAAAAGAAATTCGAATTTAAAAATTTCGCATTAAAAATACTACAAATTTATGAAATAATATAAATTAAAATTTAAAAACTTGAAATTTTTTAATCAGGACGGAAGTTTTTGTTTTTCTTCCAATTAGTTAAACCTTTTGATATTCTAGGAAGACAAGTTTTAGTTGCATGTAATTTTGCGAAGCTAAAATAGCATTGAAACATGATTCATCGGTACCAAGACGTTGCTCGCCAGCTTTGTATAATTTTTTAGCATCCTGAAAATGATAATTAATCATTATCTGAAGAACTTCTTCAAGATAATAATTAAGAGGAGGGAAGCGTTTTGAATATGGTTATTAAATGATAAGGATTATTCACGGATAAATTTGTCAACAGGGTTCTTTTTTCTTTGAAGCTCTTTATTTTATTGTTGAATCGATTGTAATTTTTGTATTTCATATTAATTTTTCCAATTAGTTTTAAAATTTCAAATTAAATATTTACAAAGTTTTCTAATTTTGAAAAGTTTATAAATTTTGTGTATGACGTGAGCATTTTTGTAAATAAAGTGATCATAAGAGGACTTGATGAATGGGTGTATAATTTTTACGATTATCAATAAGCTTATGTATTTCGAACGTAAATAATACCCGAAAAGTTTACCTGATTAGCACGTAACGTATCAGTCTGCATACTTTCATCACGTCCTCCATTGCATAACGATACAAGTAAACGCTTAAAATGTCCACTTGTTTCACTAATTAAATCTTTCTCCAACGTTGAATTATACATTTGCTGGTAAACGTTACGTAATTCAATAATTTGCGCATTTGTCCGTGAACACATAATTTCAATCAGCACTGATTCTTTTGTACCCAAACCCTGTGAGAAAGAATAATTATAATAAAATTATGAATATCTTTATTAATAATTGATAAATTTATAAATTCAACAATTTATTCGCATTAAATGTATTAATTATAACTAATATCTCTTATATCAAATAAAAGCATTTGAATATGCAATTTCAAGCATTTGAGTAATCAAGTATCGAAGTACTTTAACAATCAGTTGCTAGACATGCCACTGATAATTGATTAATACATAACTTCATTAAAATTTCCGGTGTTTAAGTAATCATGCGTTGAAATATTTGGGTAATTACCAGATGCCTTTTCATAATTTTTTTTTTTCGATTTCGGAATTGAATATTTTATCTAAGCAACTTTTCATTTGAAGTTTCAACTACACAAATGCATAAATGAAGCTGGTGATATATCAGAAAGATAAGGAAATGGAATGATAAGTTTAAGAAATATCAAAAATACTAAATCGATACTTGCATAGCTTTATGAAGTTGTTGCGCATCGTATCGTGCTGGTGGTTCCATTAGTGCCAATATCAAATCTTCAAAATCACCTGATAGCTCACTTTTCAAATCATTTATTAGATCTTTACCGTACATTGTTTTATAGGCTGCCGCAATTTGTTGACGCTAAAATCTCAAAATATTAATTTAAAATGGCAAAGAAGAAAACTGAACAACTGAAAATTATATTTGCAAATAAGTGCATAAGATATATGTTTGGTAAAGACGCATATCTATTTATTTTATTCTATTTATTCATTTATAAAATATCTCATAAATATTTTGAAAATAATCCAAGCTTTTATCTAATACTTATAAAATAACTGGGGATTAAATTGATTTTCGAATTTATAAGTGAATTTTTTTTAATTATATCAAAGGAAGAAACCTGGGAATTAACTCTGCCACATAGCACAGTAATAACTTTATTTTTGTCACAACCTAAGCCTTTCATTGCTTTACGCAACGTTTCAGCATCAGCATTCGGATTAAAAGCCTGATACGGACGTAACGATGGTATTCCTTGCATATCTGGAAATTATTTTTGATGAACACTAAAAGAATAATTCAAAGGTCGAAGGTTAAGGTAACGCGAACATACTATTCGTTGCTTGTATGGAACGCTTCCAGATAAGAATTTTTAAAAAGACAATTTGAGAGTAATGCAACGGTTTGAGCGATATTCGCCTCCTTCTCTAATTTAGACGTAATTCCTAAGTAATTCTAATTATTTTTAAAAGAATACAGTGAAAATGAAAGAGAGAAAGAGATTGAAATCGATAAAGTACAGGAAGAATTTGGAAAAATTCTCTAAATCTTATAGGTCATTTTTATTTACAAATTAAAAGTTTAATTCAAACCACAAAAATAATTAGAATTTTCAATCAGATTCAAGTTATTTAATCAGCCATTTCAAATTCCAATTTCAGCTATTAAATTTATCATCATTTTTTCCAAGAATGTGAAATAAAATGTACTTTTTATAGGATGAAATAAAGATAGGAATAGATGGTGACAAAAGTTAAAGCATTGAAAAGATTAAAATTTCACACATTTATGCAATATCAAGTAGATTTCTTTGTTTTTTTCTTTTTAAATTTAAAGTTATCAAAAAGTTATTTAAAAAATCATAAAAAATTATATATGCCTACTAAATAAGTTAGTAATTAATGAATTTGTAAAAATGATTTAAACATATGCTAATTTCAAGTAATTTCACATGTCATATGCGAATTGCATCGAAACCATCATAAAGATTATAAATGATTAAAGAAAACGGAAACAAAGAAATCATACTTAGGAAAAAAAAAACTTTCAAAATTAGTCGATCGAAATATGACTCGATTTGTTAATGCTTTATTGACAAATTGACAATATTATTCAACAATAAACAATAATTTTTGTCTTATTTCATTTTAATAATTAAGTTTTGAATATTAAAAACAACGATTTAAATGTGCAAACTAACAATAATTAATTATATAAACAAATGTGTCTGTAAAAATTCGTCATCTTTGATATGTACCAAGTCAAAAAATTGAAAGGATAGTTACGATAAATAAAAGAAAGGATAAATAAAAAATGAAAAATAAAATAAAATTAAAAGCTCTAATATATACTAGAAAATACAATTAATTATAAGGTTGATAAATTATTTTGTGACAATTTTTTGAAATGTTAGGATGAATAGGAAATGAAAAAAGACAAGGTGACAAACAGGTTTTATTGATGGTAACCAAGGAAGTAACGTACAATTTTAACACAATTATTATCGATTTTGTAGTATGATTCATCGCCTAATAATCAAACAAATGTTTTCAATCAATTTTGTATTAGTATTATTTTAAACTCTTCTTCGGAAATTTTAAGATATATTTATTGAGAAAATAACTATTTCGTTATTTTCAATTTATAAATTTATTTGGCGCATTATTTAATAAAGAAACAAAAAAGTTACGAACAAATTCATTCCCATATTTTTTACTAATTGTCCATTTTTATGAAACAATTAAATCATTAATATTTCTAATTTTCATGTTTGACAAATACCTTTGATAATAATAATTACTTCTAATAAATTACTTTAATAGCAAAATTTATTTCATTGTTTTTTTAAATAAAAAAAAAGAAAAAAAACTCCAATTTTTTACTCATAAAAAAAAGAAACGAAAAAATTCGTGTCATTTGATTATTCCTTCTTATTCATCATTTTGAATATTTTTAAAAAATTAAAATCAAAAATAACAAAAGGATAAGATGAGATTTCTCAGGGAAAATAAATAAGAAGTATTTATTCAGCTATCCTCTCATATGAATAGAAATATTGATATTATGATGAAATGTTGAAAAAATACAATAAATTTTCCTGTTTTTTAATTTTCTGCGATTCCCCCACCTCCTGATTAACGTCCAATGAGGATTACTTTTGATGACCCTCACTGGACGACAATTAGAAAATCAAAAAAAAAAAAAAATTTCAAGGAATCAATAAGTATCTAATCTGTTAGAAACTCTACGATGTGATTAAAATCGATTAATAACAAAACTATCAATAATAATGTTAATTAATCCTCCACAAATATTCACAATACACTAATCGATTTTTTTCCTATTGAAAAACTTTGAAGGAAAAATCAATTGATATTTGACAAATACTTTTAAAATGACTTACTTGACAACATTTATAACAATCGTTTGTTGTTTACCTTTTAGGATTAATCTTTGATCTATTATTTCGACAGAGATATTACAAAATTGTTATGTTAAACAAAATTATGCAGAAATATTCGTATTAATTAACCGATCCTTGCCAGTCAAACATGTAAGCATACTTGGAAGGTTATTGCACTTATTCAAAGTTCAATATTCTAAGGTCAATACGATGGACTATAAGACTATAATTGTTTTCTAATGGATTGTACACAGGTAAATAACATTATCATCATCATTAAAAAGATGAAATAGTTAAAGTGTTTACAAGAAGTTTAACATACTGAATGCTACAATTAAATCAAATATTTCATAAAATTTAAAATCCTTCCACCTTTATAAATATTTAATTTCATTTTTCATCAATAAAATTTCCCAATTTTTTCGTCAAGTACTATCATTGAGGAAGTTGAAAGGGATGAGAGTAATATACAAGATAGAAAAATAAAAATTAAAAAATAAGTGCAAAGGGAAAAATTGACGAATCAGAAGGGAGAAGAGAGGGAAAGAGAGAGAGAGAGAGGAGGGAGAGAGAGAAATTAGGCTTTATTGATGAAAGAGAAGGGAAAGAAATGGATGGCAATATTCAATAATGTACGAATAAAACAAAAATATTGCGCTAAATTAAAATTACGAAATTGAAATTTAATATAAAATTGCAATACTCAAATAATCTTAGGTGAAAAGACAAAAAGTTGCAAATAATGAAAAAAATAAATGACCGACACAGTAGAGATATTGTAACACTGATGATAATGAAAATGATAAAATACGAAGTGATAAACAAATTTAGTTAAATGTAAAAGTTATCGAAGATTTATTCTATTATATGATACTATCATAGTTATTAACATTAAATGCATTCTATCAGTACCTATCATAGTTATTAACATTAAATGCATTCTATCAGTACCTATCATAGTTATTAACATTAAATGCATTCTATCAGTACCGTTTGATAAGGCTACTTGCAAATGTCAAAATATTTTATGTGAAGGCCGGATGAGGTCACTGAATGCTGGTAATGTAAACAAATGACCAAATATGAAAGAAGGGTAAAACAAATATCTATTATAGTGTTACCGGAATAATTAAGTTTGATTTAATAAAGCAAAACGGATATTTTAGCATTTTATTAACACCAAAATCAATCTGGAAATTGCAAATATAAACATTGAAATCAAACTGTAAATTGTAAATATAAATTTGCATATCAGATGAGTGTTGAATATATGTATACCATTAAATAATAAAACTTTTGGTTTAATCTTTAAATGTCAAAGAAGCAAGGAAAGGATTCATATTTTAAAAATTATTGATTTTAACAATTGCTGTTTTAAAACCTGGAAGAAAACAAATAATGACTCAAATTAAAATGTTACTGATTTGATAAAACGATATTTGTATGAAAAATTAAAGCAAATAAAGATATATTGTAGTTGTGATACCCTTTAGGTAATAATTTTAATGATTTCGAAGTAGTAAGTTTTATAAGAAGGTTTTATCAGAAAATTGAGTAATTATCGTAAATAAGATTGAGGAAAGCTTACCAGGACCAGATGGTCCATAACTGCCGCTCATGCCACTTATCATCCAACCTGGTTCAGATGCTTGATACGGATAACCGCTAGGTGCGACTGGATAAGCAAGTTGTGCCGGGTAACCTTGTTGACCTGAATAACCTCCCTGCTGACTTGGGTACCCCCCTTGTTGACCCGGATAACCTCCTTGCTGAGTGGGGTAACCTTCTCGCTGTTTTGGATAACCCCCTTGTTGACCCGGATAACCTCCTTGCTGAGCAGGATAACCTCTTTGCTGACCGGGGTGACCTCCTTGCTGTCCTGGATAAACTCCTTGTTGTCCTGGGTAACCTACTTGTTGGTCAGGATAACCTCCTTGCTGACGTGGGTAGTCTTCCTGCTGGCTGGGATAACCTCCTTGTTGACCCGAATAGCCATCTGGCTGCGATGGGTAACCACCTTGCTGACTAAAATGACGACTACCTGGAAAACTCAGACTAATTTTGTAGTTGCTTATCCATTTATAATTGCTAACAATTATCATAAGCCATTACCATTACTCTATGAACCTCCTTGTGAAATGTAAATTTTTTAAATCGTAAAACTTTTTCAATTTTGAAAGATTCAAAACTTGAATGTAAGAAAAATGAAACAAACAGTATTACATATTTATTATGGAAACAAATACGAAGGAAAGCTTATAAGTGAAAAAAAAAGCAAACATAGCTTTTAGATAACTTCTACGTTAGCTTATGTTGACAAATACTGCGCAACATTACAGTAAAAAAAAAAAAACGAAAAACTAAAAAGTTTTGCGAAATGTCAATTAATGGGAATATATATTTAAAACATTATTATATATACTTAATAACAAATTTTAAAAAAAGAAGAGATCATTTGTTTGGAAAATATTTATTTAAATTTTGCTTCATTCAACCATTATTTTATTTAATCAAAATTAAAAACTTAATTGCATTGATCAAAGAAATGACAAGTATACAAATATTCCAAATTTACTTATATATGAATTAATTAATATGAAAACTAAAAAAAAGACTATTAATTTAGAAAATATTTATCTAAATATTCCCTCATTCTATTATTCATTCTTTATAATTCTTACTTAATCATTTTCGTAATTGAACATTTCCCAAAATGTCTATATCAATTATATTATTTGCTCATAATCGATTTATACCTAACAATTCCTATCAATATTTGTCAAAAAGATATATACCTGGTTGCTGCTGTCCATCATTGCTATTCCTCTTACCATCCTGTTGCATATTTTGTAAACCCTAAAAAAACAACATTATATATTTAAAAATTGAATACTTAAAATGCAAAAGCTAAACAATGCCTATGCGTTTCATGAAATTCAGATCTAATAAAAGTTATCGTTTAACTATTTGAATTTTATATAGTTTGAAATATGCTCAGTATTTCAAGTTACTTTTCTCAAACCATTTAAATGAAATAAACAAAATTTAAGCTTTTCAAATTATTTCAAGCATATTGCTAAACAGCAAATAGCAAAATAAAATATAAAAGGACGAGAGTATTGGCATATCAAATTTTCAAATGTGTAGATATGCATTTTTAATTTTCAAGATAATGATAATAAATGAGCAAATGAAGATTTTAAACTATAAATCCACAAATTTTTGATTAGTAATTATAACAATTTATTATCCAAATAAATGGATAGTTTATCAGAATATCGAAGTATAGCATTGATATTTTCCAGAAAAATCTTTTTGTTGTTGTTGCTTTTATCCCGCAAATTAATCATTCGTTAACAAATTCATTACATAAGCAAACAAAATTCTAACTAAATATTTTTATTAAAATAACAGTCGATAAGGATCAAAATGTATGATCTGAAAGATTTAATTGACCCAAATTATGCAAAACTTTCTATTTGATAATAAATTCTTAAAACAAAAAATCAATTCACAACTGCTTCATATAATAAAATAGCAAAAATGAATTAAAGTCTTAAAGCAATAATTTTTATCAATATTTCCGAATAATCATCACTGCTATCAGTTGATAATTGTCGCTGTTATCTGTTATCAATAGTTAATGCTAAATTCAGATATTACCACTTTTGACAAAAAAAAAAAGAAAAAAAATCTATTGGCATTAAAATATTTTAATGCTAAGCTAAATATTCCGTTCAATATTTATTAAAATTCTTAAAAGGTAAGAAAAAGAAAAACGTTAAAAATTACTTTTGTAACTTCATTGAGAATAGTACTGAAAAGCTGTGATTTAAATGGCATTGTTGTTCCTTTGGAATTACTCGAATAAAATTCGAAATATTTACTTGCAGTATAGTAAGACAAAACTGAAATGTGTTAAAGTTTAAATCGTTAATTTCAAATTTCGCTTAGTCATCAATCGATGACGTTAATGATGATGAAATTCAAGTACACAAAAGTAGTAATGAAAAAGCGAGCGATGATTCACAAGGATATATTTCGCTAAATTACAATGATTCAGAAATATTACTATTCTACTATCTTATCAGCTAACCTATCAGGATGTCTCACCCCACATAGATGGCATTTTCTTTATATATTTAAAAACAAACAAACTATATTTTAGTATCGAAATTCGATTGATGATTCACTCTGATTGTTTAGCCATATTATTTGGCACAGAATGTTATAATGTAGTGAAAAATTATTCTCAAAATTATGCTCAATTTAAAAATTAAAAAGAAAAAAAGAACAATTGAAGAATTTTCAAAATGAATGAAATCTTTAACCAAAACATATTTACAATGATATCTACGTGATTGGTTTAGAAAAAAGAAAAAAAATCGATCGATTCAAAAAGTAAAAGAAAAAAAAGACTATTTAAAAAAATCGAAACTACAAAGAAGAAATGAAAATGAATCAAAAAATAGTTTAAAATGTTGCAAGCGTTGGTTAATTGTGTAACACTCTTTTGCTATTGGCGCTATTGTCAGTCATTAACGTTGTCGTTTCACATTATATGATGTCTCGATCAATAAGGTGAATTAGTTAAAATGGGAAGAGGACAGGAAGAAAAGATAAAACACAAATTGTTGAATGTTCTATGTTTAGGTTGATTTAAAAAAAATTGAATGAATTTTTTGGCAGTTGAAATTAACTTACTGTATATGAGAAATCTTGCAAAATTAATTATAATAATTATAAATTAAATGTCTTTAAAAAATTTCGGTTCTTTTTTTTCTGCTTTTTTCTCATAATTGACCAGCTTGGCTTTTTTTTAAGATTTTTAAATTACCTGAATTGGAATATTATTATTATTTTTCTTCATAGTAATTGCTGAAAATTTCAATGAAAACTGGAAAATTGTCTTAAATGGAAAAAAATAAGAAATGATTATTGAAAATGCAAAAATTTCAAACGATAACATAAGCTGAAATTTTTAATCGAAAATATTTCAAATTGATTTTGCCAATGTTTTTTGCAGCGATTATAAAACTTAATTAGCTTGAAAAATTGTAAAACCAAAGTAACCCAGTCGAAGAGTAAAACTACTTTAAAAATTTTGCTGAATATTATTGGCAAAGGAGTAAAAAGTAAAAACAACTATATGTTCATTGTGAAATTTCATAATTTGACCTATGTTTAATATGAATTATGCGTAGTCAAAAGTTTTAAATAAATTTAACGTAAGGAATATCGAGTAAAGCTTTTGTGCGAACATTTATTTATTTCTTATCAGCATATCATGATAACTTTTTTTGACTTTTTACAGCTGTCAACTTAAATCATATTATAATAATTTCATCGATTTGAAAATTGTTTCCAAGGAAGGTAAAACGATGTTGAATGATTAAAGTATTCCAATAATGGAAATAATTACTTTTCATCATTCATTTCAATGATTTACTTTATCTGTCTTTGTGCTTTTCATATATTTGGTAAATTAATTTACATAAAATAATCAATTTGAGTTTATTTTTTTGCATATCACTTAATTACCTATTGTTCCTTAATTAATTGTTACCTGCTAGATTTGCAATTTATAGTTTTTTTCCTGGCAAATATTTTCTCACTTTTCTTTCTTACATTTTGAAATAACAGACATTAATATTAATATTATATTTTCGGGCAAAAAAAAAACCCTCACTTTGTATAAACTAAAAGTGTTTCTCCTTCACTTTATGTGGAAATTTAATTTAAACAGTTGTTCAATGAATAAATCAATTTGTAAGCCTACTTTTTATTCTTGCAAATTTTATCGATCTTTTTAAAGAAAAAAGTACAACATTTTTTGCATTTTTTGCTTCATAATCTGCTGAATTTTGATGAAAAAAATTCAAATACTTATAAAAAATGGCGGAAAAAAAGGGTTAAAACTAAATTCCCTTTTATTTCCCATCCTTATAAATGAAATACGCTACATTTCTTAGTCATCAGATGTGTCACATCCATCTAAACAATTCAACGAATTGAAAAATAAAGAAATGAAGAAAAACGAAGAGATGACAACGTTATCCAATCAGTTTCAAAAATAAATATAATACTTTAACTTTTTAGTATCTTTACTTTCATTTAATTTATCTTTCTCATTCTTATTTTTGAATAATTTCATTAAAAAAAAAAGGAGAAAAGAACACTAAAATAATTATTCTCTTTCTCTCTCTTTTCATTTTGATTTAAAATAACATAAATGTTTAATTTTATTTATACAATAAATCGTTGCTATTTCCTTTTTCTCTTTCTCTTTCTCTCTTATTTGAATTCACTGAGGTATCAACTAATTAGCATAATATAATTTAGACGATTTCTCTGCTGCAGATAATTTATGTGGCAGTATCTCATAGATATTTGCAGCTCGTTGAAGCAATGCCTTATAAAACATTTACAGATTGTGTTTCGATGATAAGGCGGTACTGCCTTTTCTTAGGCCTGACAATGTTTCAGCGTCACTTAAAAGACTATCTTCTATATTATTTTTAATAAAATTGTCATTTTTTTTTTTGATGACTTTTGAAGGATACTGATCCTATGCTTTGGTTTATTTGTTTTCAAATATTATTCTAAACAATTCCATGAATCAAGCACTCTTTGATGACATTGGTTGAATCTTGAAATAGAAATGATGATGATTGTTAAAATTACACATTGCTATTGGCCTTCTGTTATTTTCAATTACTTTTAGTATTCACCATTTCTGATGAAGATTCGGCAAATCCAATTGTATTTAAGCGATTAGGATAAATTTGTGTTGGTAATCTTTGATCTCGTATTATTGGGAATATTTCTTCATTTTTGGGGAATGAAATCGTATGATTTAACAAACTAAACTGATGATATATTTGCTGATAATTTTAAGGATGTGATTGGTTAATAATAAAATTAAAACATATAAAATTAAACTAAAATATGTACCAAAAAAATAAAAAAAATTGAAGCACGATAGTTTTAAGTTACTTCTCAAGATTTTGTGGGAATTGATCAAACCTCATAATTAAAAGTTTTAATTTAACACTGTAATTCATACCTTACCAAATAAAAATGAAAGATGATTACATGTTCAATCAACTGTTTCAAATGCGAAATCGTTTCAAACTATTGAAAGGTTATCCCTTAAGAAGTTGACATCATTATAATAAACATATCCAGAAATGAATTTATCATCGGGTGGGTCAATTCTGATGAAAAGAACGCGATTAGTCTCGTCGATGACCTTGATGAAACGAAATGTACAATATTATGATAAGTGTATAGAGTTTGATGTGTGGAGATAATGGCAGTAATTATTAATAGAGAATTGGTGGCAATAATATGGTTAAGAAGTTTGAAATATTGCCAAAAATTTAGAAAATTAAATTTTATCGTTTGATGTTAGTACTGCTGGTAATAATAACTATATTATTATATTATTATTATTATTATTATTATTATTATTATTATTATTATTATTATTATTATTATTATTATTAATGTTTGTTGTCGTTACCGACTATTATATCATTGCAGTTAGCAACAATGTTACCATTTGCTGATCGCTATTATCATCGAGCTATGTCCTCATTACCGTTATCATCACCAAATTCACCATCACTATCATTTATCGTTGTTAAATCATCCTAATCATTGTTGCTGTTGTCAATTTGTTTATACCATCATTATTACTATTATCTACACTATTGTTATTATTCAAAATAATACTCCTCTCGTCTTGTCATCGTTATTACTATCATCAATATTTTGTTTCAGGTATTTTTAAAATATCACCAAATGATTCATCAACTCATCGATGATGAAGCAAAATTTGG